CTATAAAATAAAAATTTAATTTAACATTTAATAATACTGGATAATTAATGTATAGATAAAAATTCATGATTAAAATATTCATCAAAACAAAAAATAAAATAGAGATTGACGAATTTTTGTGTCGATTCATCAGCAGCGCTTTTTTTCAAATTTCAAATAGATTATAAACCATCGCTAGTAACGATTTTTTTTTCATATAAAGGTTTTGGTAATGTATACTTTATAATGACACTAGCAGCCTCCCCGTCTCAGCTTCGCCCGAGACTCATTAAATGGAACACAGTAGTGTATTAACATGTAATATGAAACGTTTTCAGTTAAAAATTTTACATCTAGTTGTGATATTTCTTAGAGCAAAAATCTTCTTATTAACGACACATTTGTTCGGAATGCAGACAGTTAATTTGGTCAAGTAAAAAGCTGTTGAAAATGAACAAAATATAATTATGCTGCAAAGTACCGTGCATTCCTTATGCCATAAACTAATCGTTCGCCCTAAAAGGCCGTTGATTTGCAGTTTCTCCCGTATAATCTATGATTAGGGCTATTTTTAAGAGCTGTAAAGATTTAAAACTCACAAAAAACGTATTATTAAAAAAAATTATTTTCTCTCATCACACAACTGTATTACCACAGAATCAAAGTCCTGGAGCTTAATCTCTACATTTTTTATCGCCACGAAAACACAAATACATATTCTGCTTATTTAAAAATCTGGAAGATTCATGAGATTACTATAAAGGTTATAGTGGAAAGCTGATCTGTCACTTAATAAATTATTTCACCATATTCTTGACGTCTAAAATTGTACCTATAAGATGCATTTGAAGTTTCCCTTCCAATTCAACTTCTTGTGACTTTTGGCATAGTTGAGACTTGTGAGTCCTCTGCTATTTTTTTCAACTTATATATTTGTTGGAAAAGTAGTTCGACGTCTGACGATCCTAAAAAGGACTAGTGAGCTTCTTCAGTAAACTCTTTCTTTACTGCAGTTTACAGCAATTGTGACTGCTCATATACCTCAGGGTGATCTTCTCTAGCCTGTTATTGTAGCACCACACTAATCGAGAAGAAAACTGCAACGTTTGAAACTTTGGAGCTAGTTGTAGAGCTCTTTCCCAACGTCTCCTGATAAAACGTCGAAGATGTTGGTGTCTGAAGCACCTTCTTTATTTGCAGACTCAGTTGTTTTGGTGATCTAAGATGGAGAGGTTGGTTTGTGATGTTTGCCCGTTGGAAACTGTCCCGTTGGCTCACATTTATTGTTTTTTTCATAGCTGTTAGGTTCTCCCAGCGCAGACCTTGGAGAAGATCGGTGATTCCTGGTTGAATGCTTAAAGTCGAGAGGATAATATAGGGTCGTCGGTGGCCGGGGTTCCAAGCCTTGCGAAGAACAACTCTGCGCGTGACGTCTGCCAGTGAATGACTGACTTGGTTTAATAGTGGTCGGCTTTACATAGTTTTTTAGTTGACAAATCGTCTTCGAAAATCGTAGTAAAAATGTATTTGTTGGCAAGGTAATTTAAACTTAGGTGGTCCTTAAAAGAACCGATGAGATTGATGGTTAAGTAGGGAACGTTAATACTTATAATGGCCCTGAAAAGAGCCACTGGTGAAACTTGCAGCTATTCCTTATTATTCTTGATGATGGAGAGCCAGCTGCGGATAGCTTAACTCTTATCCTTTGTGTCTCTGAGTACGGAGACCGTACAGGGGGGAGGTACGACGCTGACCAAAAAATATATATCGTCTTCAAGTCGTTTTCCGGATAACCAACCGCTCAACGTTGTTGGTCGAGAAAGTGGGCCTGGAGAATACCTTCTTTGTAGGTATTCCATTGGGACAACCACTAAGAAAGAGGCCGTTAGGACTGCCGTCACTCTGCAGGGCTGTCTTCCCTGGCTTACATTTGTAGTAGAAAATTCTCTGACAGCACCAGGTCAAATGGTTGAACGGCCACAAAACGGTCAAAATGTTGGAGTAGGTTGGGCTCTGATTGTACACGTCTCCTGGTATTCCACCGGAGACGTTGATGTTCCAAACCTTTATTTTTCCCTGGCAGTCTGTTATTTTTGCAATCTGGGGTTAAACCCTATTTATTTCGCTAACCCATGAAAGAAGAATCGTCATTGATAGCTGAAATGCCCAGCTGCACGACGTACTATTTTATTCGTGGTGTAGTGCCGATGATCGACGCGATGATGGTCAACTTGATGGGGCTTCTTATGGCGCCATCTAGCGGATCCTACTGAACTAAAAAAAAGCTGGCGTATTTTTACAAAACTTTGAGCTCATTTATTGCTATTATTATTGAATTTTTAAAGATAAAAACTATACTAAAACCATCTAGGAAGTGTCAGGAATCGATATGCAAAAATTCAGCAAAATTGGATTAGTAGTTTTCGCGGTAAGACGCGATTACAACGGTTTTAGCGACTTTGCTTTATACATTAGTAAGATAACATCTATCCCTGATGATTTTAGAACTGTGTTTTAAAATTATACTATCTCAAAATATAGAGTTTAGAACACACATAGTGTAATTCCAGTATATATGTACAATTCTGTTGATTGGAGGAATTCTCAGCAGCTACTTGTATTCTTTTTCAATTTTTTAATTTTTTGTTTTAATCAAAGGTAGTTCTAATTGAATTATTGTAGTAAAAATTGATTAAAAAATTTTGATAGAAACGCAAACATAACTTATCAATGCTTATATTATATGATTCTTGGCTAAATCCGTCAGCAAAAATTTTAGGTCTGGATTAATTTAAAAAAATTATTTTTAGAAAGTATTTAATATGATTCGAAATTTTCTTGTGCACTTTTATCTATTAAATAAACACTTGTCGTCAAAATCTATTTTTTCAATTTCAGTAATTTTAATAAAAATGTATACGACAGTCATGCCCTTCTCTCGAAAGTCACATATATGGACCACCCTAGTTGGGTCGACATATCCGGAGTCTCATGCAGTATCGAGTATAGTTTTCATGCCCAGTCGTTATGACACAAGTGCCTGCATTGTTACTGGTTGTTTTGCCCAGTGGATATTTCTGAATCATTTTTATTAGAGTGGATATTTAATTCAAATTAAAGACTTTATTTCAGTAACACAGAATTTCTCAAACTGATTTCAAAATGTTGTAATAGCCGTGGTCGTTGTTGAATTTTCTCCCCAGAGGTACAGTGGACTATCTGTGTTTGAATTTGCACCTAATCCGAACGGTCATTTGCACTTACGATCGAATTTAAAATAATAGTATAGGTTTCAACTGACTGAAGTAAGAGCTACATGCTGCATTACATAAAAATATATTATTCACAAACACATAAACCATAGCTAGCTGATGAGTGACGATAGATCGTGAAATCATTACATCGAATCAAGATAAATGGGTTCTGTTCAAAAGGATGCTTAGACGACACAAAATCATTCTGTGTTAAATACTTTACACCACACGTTGACATTTCCAACAAAATTTATTATTGTTCTGGTCACACTTCATCCAGCTGGCAGAATAAATAATTCATGATACTGGCGTGTTAAAAAAATAATAAATAAAATAAATGAACTGTTGCTGGCAAAATTGGTATACTCTGATCAATAATGGAATAAGTGCATTGTTGAAAATAAAGTATAGGTATATACTCTGGTGAGTAGAAAAAAAAAAATAACAAGATCAAACCAATACGGTAACTTCTATACAAAGACGAAAACTTCATAACTATACACGTTAATAACTAAGAAGCCAATTCAACGGTATACGTTAATGACTCTTAATGAGCCAGGAGCAAACTCGTTACTCTTTTGAGTCAGGCGAGTGAATTCGACGTCTCTGACAGTGGTGTAAGCATGAAATTTGATCAATCTAGATTATGTTAGCCCTGTAGAAGCAGCTTACTTATTGAATTATGTTGGAAATCCTCTTGGTCTACTTAAAATTTAATATGCCGGTTAAAATTAATAATGAAGAGCAGCTTATAATTTTAAGAACTTTAAAATTTTTTTTAGAGTTATGTAGGGCTTTTAATTTTATGGCAGTTGATTACGTATAGTAAGAGAAAAACTTCTTCAATCAACAGACTCACCGAAGCACATCATTTCTGAGAGTTAAAAGAACACTAAGACTACAACTGTTTACGAGGTTTTAAAAAAAAATTTCAATGATAGTTTGATTACCGACCCGAACGATAGAATTCCGACAAACCATGAAAACATAAATACAACAGCAGAGAAACTGGTGACTGACCGGTGAAAGCCGGCTTCGACCAGTTACAGTCCAAACTTAACCGATAAAGTCGCATTATTGTCATCGTCATTTTTTCTCGCAACGCATCAACGGCTGTAGACTCATGACACGGGGTAGGATCGTGAAGAAAAACAAAACCATCAATATCGATCACCGAAAGCACCAAGCGTTACGTAGTTATTGCTACGCTTTTATCGACGATGTACATAAGAGTCAAAAATTTTGAGATTTTTTTCTCCCACCGAACTACCTTACCTGTCAATTCACCTAATTAACACGAATCAAATACAAGTACAATGTTCTCGGTGAAACGTGTTCCTTCAGTGTCTTTACGAGCTTTACCAACATTCATCACAATGCCGTTGTAATAGCGTGCCATACAACCACAGTTTCAAGTTCATCACTTGACGAGCGCAAGACGCTTTTATTGCTTTGAGCGCTGTGCTCAAGTATAATTAGCTTTCTCCGAGAATCGTGTGTTGTTGTCGCTGCATTCAGTTTCTTTCGTATGTGGTTCTCGACGCATGTTGCGCAACCAATTGACAATCGATATCTCCACAATGCCGAGTATGTAACTTTTTTTATGCTTCGAATTTCGATCTTATAAAAATAAAATTAATTACTGGTGCAGTTAAGAATTCGGATTCCGAAAATTTAGAAGCTTTCGTTGATGGACATTGGTATCGCAGATTGGTGTCGAATTTGAGTGAGGAAAATTTTGAGGAATGAAAGTCATGTGGGCTTTTTTATAACGTTGTATTTTTTTCATGATAACAATACGACAAATTACTGATAGAATTAGGTTGTGGTAGTGTGATATACTTTGATACCACTAATTTCGCCAACTCGTCTAAAAGTTCAATTTCATGTCGATCTCTTTCACTTAAATGACTTCAGAATTATGGTACCCATAACAAGCGACAAAGCTTACCACATTACCTCAATTTAATTTAACCCAAGGGCCTCCACCTAATTAATCGATATACTGAAAATTGTGTAGGATGTCACTTGCAATAAACTTCATAAAAAAGGTTAAGTTGACGTTACAATGTATCGATTTCTTCGTATGTCGATTAATTAAGCTGTAGAATCTAATACCATTCATCTGATTTTCAGTTCCACAATAGATCAACAGTTCGATGAGCAAAATATATTTACTTTTGCATCGTTCACTTAAAATTATAATACATTCACTACTTTACATTAACAATATTACGATTGCTCAGAGTGTTTATATACAATGGGTATATATTGATTCACGAGTCTTTATATATATCTTTGGCGACTTAAGATACCGTTTAGCATTTAAAAATCCATGAGAGTGCACCGTATGATATGCACCAATCGTTATTATTAAAAAAGAATTTACGTAGTTTTCGTACGTGAGAACGAAAAAATTAGTACAGATTATAAAATCGACCAGGGCATTTTAATTCAATGGTTTGACCCTTTCGTTTCATTTTAACTGCTAAAATAGCTTGCTTCTCCTTTTGATGTGTAGTTGATAAATCATCAAATTAGTATTTTTTATCTTCTTTTTTGAACGTACGAAAAAAAAATTATTTTTGAACCACAACATCCGGACGTCCTTGAATTTTCCTCATTTTGTCTCTGCTCGGTACAGCGCAGCCCATAATCGTGGCAACTGTAACAACAAAGAAAACAATATGTTTATCAGTTTCGATGTGTTTTCATGAAATCCTTAAAAATTATTTTTTATCATTTAGAAAAAGAAAGTGGTTATGACCTGAATTGATTCTTGGTAACGATGAGTATAACGGAAGGAAACAGTTTGTTTTAATAAAGCGTACTATAGAGCTAGAGAGGAATATGTTACGTTTAAAAATGATAAACAAAGTATTGAACAATAAAAAAACCGTTTAAACTCTGAGAATGCATTTATACTCTTTCATGGGTTTTATACATCTAAAATAAGAGCTTACCATTTTTACAAACAATTGTATGTATTAAGGGATTAATTATGAATTGTATCATACGTGTTAGCGAGTGTGGACATGTATATGTATACCACTTACTTAACAGTTGAGCGGCCATCGCTAAGATCAATGCGGTGCAATAATCGTCGATGAGATAACCGAAGAGCATATTGCCGAAGAACGAGCCGCATCGTCCGATGAATATCGTGATCGCAGAGGCCATTACCCTTAAAGTAAACAGTTTAGAGTTTCTTGGCTTATTATCAACATGATTTTTAGTAATTCTATGTATATTACTGTTGTTAGTGTTATTTTTACAATGATATGTGTTATTACTACCCGTATTATTATAATTATCATTATTATAATTGCAGTTGCATTATTTACAGCGTTCATTACAAGTTTTTTTGTCATTAAAAACAAAAAAATTATTTAGTAGAACAATATATAAAAAGTCATTGTTTTCTTAATCATGGGCGAAATTTTTTATCACATCAAATGATAAAAATAAATAAACAGATATGCTGAAAAAGACCGAGCTTTGCTGAGGCAATTAGTGATTATTATTTTGTCTCAAATACAAGATGTATCAATTTTCTGGTGTCATACATTTGAGAGTACACAACACTTTCATTAGTGAATCATTCACTAAACGTTTACATTTGTCTATGTAGTGTCAGGCTCCAAGTGAATTGACTGTAGCAATAGACGTCATTATCATTCAGCAATCGAAGGCACGTGATATCATGTGTTTGCGTGTTCATTTATAATTGTAGTAACATGTGCTTGTTATTATTTGCATTGACCGTGAGTCATCGTTTGAATTTGATGTGGGTTTAAGAAGGGAGAAAGTACCTTACTGGCAAACAACATAAAAAATTTTTTATCATGGTGTGAAAAAAATTTTAGGAAGAGGTAAATCATGCCCTCATTTCATTAAATCAAATGAACCATTATTATAAAATTAATAGTACCCTACTTCAGGTGTTGATCTTATTTTGTCACTATATGAAAATTAAAGTATGAATAATCCAGGAGTCTTGTCAAGTAACAAAAAAATAACAAAAATTTTTATTATTTTTTGAAAGTTGTCTCCTGTTAGGGAAAGGCTCTCAAAGAAATTTAATCTTAGTTGACGTATCGGTTACATATACATCATCAATCCGTCTTACATATGATAGCATGGCTATGCGTCTGTATTTTTCCTCCCTTTTGTGGTGGGTGAAGAGAGCAGTAAAATCCGAGATATTAAAAAGTCAAGAGAATACCAAGCTAGCAATTAAAAAGATAATGAGTAAACAAATTTTTTTAAATAGTGTGTATACATAATAAAATAGTAGATATTCACTATTAAGATAGTAAGTCAGGTGATTCCACTATTTTAAAGTTTTATATTTATAACTTTTTAAACTATTCAGAATTAAATTTTGTATCACGCAATTGTGTGACTCATATTTTTCACTATTTTGCAAGTGAAAATCTGTTTGCACAACTTAACCTCAAAAAATACCTTAAAGTTGAGAATATGGTTTTTTCTAGTTTAAAAAAAAAAAAAAAAACACAAGAAATGTTATGGATGGTAAAAAATCTCTCAAATGAGACTTGTCAGATTAAAATTCATTGCATAATTTCTGAAAAAATCAAAAAATACTATCAATAATTTTAGTTTCACATTTTTAATGCATTTCTTTCATTAATAAAAAAAATTAGTTCATATGAAGTGAAAATGTAGCCTTCGTTGAGTAGAAAATATTAGTTTTTTTACCATATGTACAAAATTAAAGTTTCTTGTGTAGGGCCCGATTTTTTATATATTTGCCCAAGGTACGAACGACATTTTTCTTTCCGAGGACACAAAATCGTATACTTTTCCCCTACTAATCACTTTTTACCCACGAGTGGGAAAGTAATATTTCACCCTGGAGTGTAAAGTAATTTAAGTGCATAATTGAGGGCTTGCGGGCGCATAGATTTCACACCCATAATAAAAAAAAGTGTTTTTGAAAATTTGGAAAAAATTAATAATCATACGACTTATAGTGAAATTACGAAAAAAAGATATTTCGTAAATTATCTATTGCCCAACTAGGGTAGAGTCTACTGGATCCATTCTTAAACTCTTTGAAAGACGTAGTACTATCATACAATGAACCTAAGAAATATTTATTTTTAATTTTTAACACAATTTGTAACGGTATTCTTTGTCTCAGAAAATATACAGTGAATCCGAAGCCAAGAAGTCAAATATTATAGATTTTTGTATTATCTACAACTTTCTACGATAACTCTTTTTTATAGGAAACTGTGAATTTTTTTTCTTTTTTTTTCATTAAATACAAAGAACCGTGCAGAGATGCAAACAGTACTACGTTTTTAAGGATGTTTCCATACGACCCTGTTTTTTTCTGAGTAGTATAGAAACTGTCAATTTTAATAAAATTACTGTCTTAGTTGTCACTGTATTAAGATGTTTGTTATGTTACATTAGTCTCGTTGCTTTTGTTATTAAGTCTGTTTCATTTTTTATCATTTTTTGTGTATTTGTTTTCTAATATTGCATACGTATTTTGAAAAATTTTTTCTTATTTTTTCGTTTTAATCTAAAAAGTCCATCTCTATTTGGACATTTATTTTCTTAGTGCTAATTTCAACGTATAGTTATTATTTTAATTTTATCATGATACAGTAGTTAGCATTTTATCATCAACATCTTCATAGCTCCTAGATGAGAGTAATAGCAGGTTACCAAAATAATATGAATATGTCATTTTTAGTTTCAATAAAATAGTAATGCTCTTATTATAAGATCCTAGGTTTTTTCAAACTCATAATTTTATCTAAGTTTTAAAGTTTCAGTTTCCTTGTGGGTTTTTGTGTAACAACTGCTAAGTTTGTCACCGAAACATTATTTTTGTTTTTTACTTTTTTTGTCTCTGTAATATTGTTCCTTTTTACTTGTCTTCTTGCTATTTTTCTAAAGTTTTTACTTTTTCTCACTCTAAGTATTTATATTTAAGACAATAAATGTCGTATACTCATATGCATACTTTCTACTTGCACTGTATCTCTGTCTTAGTTAGTATTGTGTTGGGTACCTGATTAAGAGTAAATGTTTTTCTGTCTCTTATATTCTATGTTCTTTCCTCTTGACCATATTATATATTAACTTTTCTATATTCATTTTGACTAAAATTATATAAGTAGTTATTAAAACTGTTTATTTCGGTTAGAAGAATAACAGTTATCTTTACTCCTTTATTTATCAGAATACTAATGGCCCCTCATTCCGGCTTCGCGTCAGTTTCTTGATGCATAACATTGTAAACAATTGAAGCATTTGAAGTTTCCCTTCTAATTCGCCCTCTAGTGACTATAGGCATTGTTAAAACTTTTGTGAGCCCTAAGGGCTATTTTTTGTCAACTTTGTTAAGTTTTAATATATTTGTTGGCAAGGTACTTCGACGTCATATGGTCCCACAACGGACTGGTGAGCTGAACTCTTTCTTGACTGAAGTTTGACCGAAGCTGAAGCAAAGCATGACTGCCTGAATATCTTAGGGTGATCTTCTCTGGCCTGCTGTGATAGAATCAGACTAATTGGGAGGTCAAACTACTAAGTTTGAAGCGTTGGAGCTAGTTGTAGTGCTCTTTGCCAACGTCTCTTGGTGTTACTCCAGAGACGTTGGTGTCCAAAGCACCTTCTTTTTTCTCAGAACTCCGTCATGTTGGTAATATAAGGTAGGGAGATTGTACAGTACAGACCTAGGAGAGGATTGGTGATTTCGGTTGAATGCTAAGAGTCGAGAAGGTAATGTAGGGATATTACAACCAGACTCTTCTTTTTCTTCGACGCTACCTTGTGGATCCTACCAAACTAAGGAAGAAAGCTAGCAGATTTTCGCAAAACTTTTAGCTTATTTATTGCTATTTTTGTTAATTTTTTCAAGATGAAAACCATACAAAAACCATCTAGGAATTGTCAAGAATCGATATGCAAAAATTCAGCAAAATGGGTTGAGTAGTTTTTGCAGTTAACGATCACAAAGTTTTTTTGGGACTTCGATGTATGTATATTATGTTTATGTCATCCGTACAAAGATATACAAAACCCACAGTAAGGGATTTAGATTATTTCTTTTCTGGGAAAATGTCTGATACCGTCTAAAAAAATTTATACTTCATGCGTAACTTCACAGAAAATTCAATGATTAAGTAGTTTAACAATTTCATGTGATTTTGATTAAGAAAAATGCAACTAAGTGATCCAATATAAAAACTGAATAATCGAAGAACTTAATTTATTCATTATTTATTTGTGTACAATGTATTGCACGTACACTGCTTTTAAATACACCCATAATACTGGTTTTTTTAGATCTCTTGATAAGTTATCACCATAATTAGTTTCTGACTAATGAAAATTTGTATACAAAGATTATTAATAATCATTTCGGGAATTCATTTTTGTCAAATTCACTTGCCTCTTCATTATTTTTATATAAGTCATAAATGCTAAGAAAATGTCCCTATTACGACTATAAATTTCATCATACTTGCTTCTTTGATTTTTTTTTCTTAACTGTGAGCTTTAAAAGTAGAAATTTTTGTATTAGCTAGTGTGCTATAAATTTACCATTATTATTCTAGTTTTTAAATATGGTTCTTACTTGTTGAAAATCTTCATTTTATAAAACGATTGTAAGACCAAAATCTACATGATTAGGAAACGTTGTACCTATTGCTTCATAATATGTCTCTATTTATGAAACTTTTTAAAAAACGTAAATTAAGTATAATATTTTAAGACAGTTAAAGTTTTTTTACTTGCATAACACTTTTTTATTTAACAAAAATAATTACATCGTTCATTTGTTTACNGATTATAAGACTAAAATGTACATAATTATGAAAGGTTGTACATATTATTTCATATCATTTTCCTATTCATAAAACTTTTTAAAAAACCTAAATTAAGTATAATATTTCAAGACAATCAAAGTTTTTTTCCTTGCATAACACTATTTTATTGATCAAAAATAATTATATCGTTTATTTGTTTACTAGAAGTATATAAATTCCCTATTAAAGTTTGGTGCCATGATACGTACAGTTCAAAAAATAGATTATGTACTACTTTGTCCTTATTCATGGAATTATCTTTCAAATTTGTCAATTATTGTAATAATTATATCATTTATTTTGTTACTAGAAGTATATGAATTCCTTGTTGAAGTTTGGTGCCATAATACGTACAGTTCAAAAAATAGGTTATGTACTACTTCGTCCTTATTCATGGAATTATCTTTCAAATTTGTCAATTATTGTATGTAAAATGAAATTTTTCTTGTGAATTCATAAGGACACATAAAATATACGACTACCAGAATTTTTTTCATCAAGTAAATTGTATGACAAATACATGAATTTTCATATTCCATCAATAGGGACACATTACACGAACAGGGACATTTGCCTTAGTAAGATAGTTATTTGTAAACTGAACACTGCATAGATAACGAAAAAAAAAATTATTTTTGTAAAATTTGATGCACAAGTAATTTTTTTACTTCCATTGAACGTTGTACATGTTCGCAGTTTTTTTAAAATGAGTATTTATTATTATTTGCGATTTGTTGTTTGATACGTTCATACGAAGATAATAAGCAAGGTACTGTAATAAAACTATTGTCTAATTTCCTAAAACTGTTGAAGGGAATTTTACATTGTTTTATTTTTCAACCTTTAGTAATGGGGGTTTGAGATTCTGGGAAGAAATTTGTATTATCTAAACCCATTTAGATTTTTAAAAATATAAAATTTATTTTTTGTGATGAGGCACCGTAATAACGTTAATGTGGTAGGTTTTATTTTTCCTAATTATGTCATGATTAATGTCTAAAACATGAAGAATGGTTCAATCATGAAATAGATAACATTTTTTCTGGTTTGTGATCCTTAAATAATCAGTGGCTTTGAAGCTTATGACAACAAAGTTTAAGAAAAATTTACTATGAAAAATATGAATTGTTTCTAATGATAAAATTTTAAGAACAGTTGTTTTTTCTATAAAATTAAAAAAAATTTTTGAAGCTAGTCACTAATAGTCATGTACGAGTATGTATGTATGTATGTATGTATGTATATAAATATGTATTTATATATATTAGGTATTTATATCATATTCATACCTATTTTATTTTTTTTGTGTAAGAAATCCGTTAATTCGTATTTTTTTAAAATTATTTTAGAAAAAGTAAGTACTTGTCAGTACTTATAACGATAGATTTCGGACCCCCAAAACTGAAATAAGGAGCCGAGCAAGTTAAATAATACGTCTCATGATAACACTCTCAAACTTGCATAACTATAAATCTTGTTTGGAGGTAACTCTTTTAAGATTATTATTTTAAAACGATAGAACAACAATATTTCAAAGATAATTATTCTTTTTCGTGAGCTCTCTTAAATACTTGATTTAGCCAGGATAACAAACAAAATATGTTTATGAATTTCCAGAACAAACATGAAACTTACCTCAGGCTCGTTGGAAAAAGATCCACTATCATGCACAAATTTATACTTGTGTTTACAGATGTAAATGCTTCAAAAACACACGAAATAATGAGATTCTCCATTGAATTTCTCACATAAAAAAAGCCAACTGTTACTGCCAGTGAGCACGCCGATGTAAAAACTGTAAAAATATTGATAACAATGTCTACGTATAAAACGTTTAATCTTTTACTCAAAAAATTATTTGAGAGATCAAAAAATTACTTAAGTAAGTTCGATATCCAATACGCTCAATCGTCAGTGGCAGTAAAATAGCACAGGGAAGACAGGCAACGCCCAGTAATGCTGAGTTAATATATACACTCGTGTCCATCCGGCTGTCACAACCAAAGGGGTCGAGATTCGTCAAACTCTAAGGTTAAAAAATATTATTTTTTTATTTTTTTATTACATCAGCTATTAATTACTAATAATATGAAAAAAATTTAAAAGTATTCATGAAGTAGTAGTTTAAAAATTTATCATATCGACACGGGGATTTCAAGTATTTAAATTCTAACAACCAATTAATTGTTCTAATGACTTTTGAAACTTAATTTTCCAATTGCTGTTTTTAGCCAACTCTTGCTTCGTTCAAGCCTTATCTAATAAACTTTATTAGAAATTTTAACACACTAATAAGGGAATAATAATATATGTATACATAGCATACAAAATATTAAAATATGTGAAAATTTATAGTTTGAAACAAGTTTAACACAACTTAAGTCACGCATATTGCTACTTTTGCAAAACAATTCTCGTTTTATACTTTGATTTCTGAAAAATGTGTGGCGGTTTCTAAATAAAAAACACAATAATCAAATATACTGTAAACTTACATTAGTTTGTTGAAAGAACAATAATATATTTAATACATTTAAGTAAAATACCGTTCAGTGAGAGAGTGAATCGTCTCTAGGTAAGAAACATTAGAAATATTTTAATTAAAAAAAGCAAAATCATCGAATTATTACTTTCTAATAGTCAATAGTAACGATTACTATGAGTTCAATAGTGCTGCAATGAACTTTTCTATTATAAAACTTCAAAACACTTCTTTCACTAGTGGGAAAGTATTTGACTTTCCTCCTTTATTTGTAATATTCTTGTGGTTGAATACAGTTTTCGAAGAATGTATGAATGTAAAGGAGTTGAAATTTATTTGTCAACAAGAACGGCATTCTTTATACGTACATCAACAGATTCGATCACAGAGTTGTTGGCGTTACATCGTTCCGATACAGTACAGACGCTGGCATGTTTTCCAGGATGGTTAGTTTCAAAAGTGGCAAATCTCTGAAATAGTTCTGGGAACCAAGTCATCAGAGAATAATAAGTCGATGACATGCAGAACATTATGGAAGCGCTGGCAAACAACCTTTTGAAGTATGGTCTGCGCATTAATGCTTTGGTTTGAGATTTGGAGCTGTTCAGTAGTTCCACTAGTTTATTCTTTTTGACTTTCGCTTGTCTCGACTTGTTGTCATACATCTCGTGTTGGCATACTAGTTCGCTGATCGATGGTATACCACAAGTCATTAGATCTTCCTGATATTGAAATTCGAGTTTTTGATTATAAGAAAGAACAATTTATTGTTTAAAATGTTTATACCTTAAAGTCTTCAGCAGTGTTTCCGGTGTTGCTGATGTACATTTTTGTAAGAACTTTGACTAGCCTATCTCGTTGTCCATCCTCTGCGAGATACTTTGGCGTTTCTGGCAAGATTGCCAACAACAAAGCTGACACTAAGGCCGGAATGGAACTCGACAGAACAAATAAATTCCATGATCTGAACGAAAACATGCCCCTTTGGTAGTGGAATTCGAATGGTATGGTGACCCAAGCAAACACTTCGAAGTACATTAAATGCAATTATTTTAACATAACATAAAGTATCATTCTTCAAAATCAGTGGTACAATCTAGCAGTAACAACATTTTTTTTTAAGAAGCAAATCAAACTATGTTAAAACTAATTATAAACTCACATGCAACGATTATAACACCAATGGACCATGCAAAGTCTAACCATGATAACACCGTATTTCTGTACTTCACCGGTTGAAACTCTCCAACGTATGGGTAGATAAGTGAAAGTTGGCCTGTAACTCTGTAATCATATACTTTAATTAGTTCTTATAATCCATCATTGGCCTACTAATAACCATGCTTATCATGAAAATAACATCATTTAAGAGGTTAAGGGCTTCATTCTCAGTCAGACAATCTAGTTAAGTCCAAAACTATATTTATTGGAAAAAGATACTTCTGCATTAAAGCTAGTTGACATCGTGATAAAACCTTAGGACAGAGTTGAATTATTGAATGAATTGAACAAGAGGATAATATGAATCGTATGGTAAAAAAGAAAGCTTAAGAGAAATAAATTAAATATTGAAACAATGATAACGATAGGAAAAAAGGAAAAAAATGATTAGATAAAGTACAGATAATAGAAAGAAGAAGCAGCTAAATTTATTTTAAAAACTGCGTTTTTGCAAAATGTAAGGCTCGTCTGATGTAAGGGAGGATATTATTGTTATTACCATACTGTGTTAAAAGTTGGTACTTTTCGGTGCAGGGTTGGTAAAAATTCATATATTCCACGGGACGAAGAGAAGAAAGCGATCATCAATTCTATGTATCCTGAACAATCTATTATTCTATCATAAACAACATATTGTTTTTGCGATTTATGGCGTTAATTTTATGTTACAGATAAACATGTTAGATACAAAAAAATTACTTTTTTCAAAGATCTATGAATTTTACATTAACTTTGTAATTTAAAATTTTAAAACGAATAAGTTAGATAGGAGAGAACGATAATTTTGCGATTTTTTGACATTTTTTGCGATTTAGAGCGCAATTTCATATCATGACTATATAATATATTGAATACAAAAAACGTATATTCAACGAGATCTACAACTTTCACCTTTATTATCTTATCTACAATGCAAAACAAAAAAGTTGAATAGGGCAAAACAATTTTTCATTCATTTTACGAGCACTTTTTAGCCCACAGAACGTATGGGTTACATCCTGGAAAAAAACGTTAAATACGAAAAAGTTATTTTTCAATCATATCCACAACCTTGTCTTTTGCAGCAAACCTCAAAAATATTACGTAACACAATTATAGATGAAAACTGTTTTTTTTTTTTTTTTTATTACTTAAAGTACCATCTTGAAATGACTGCCATTTTTTTTCCAAAATGGGAAACCTTGCTGATTTCAAACCAACACATGAGACATAAAAGACGAAGTTTTCTGTCAAATTTCAGCCTCATCCGACAAAAACAGCATGAGTTAGTCAAAAATTTAAGTACGCCCTATACATACATAAATACATACACCCCTGACGCCAAGGTCCACGATCGCAATTTTACTTTACCAAAATTTTTTTTACAAAAAAACAATAAGTTTTAAGGGTACCTACATGTTTTGCTCTGACAAAATTATAAGGTACTCCTAAGTATTAATCGTGCCTCTAAATTCAGATTGGTTCCGTAAAAAACATGTTACTTATATAGGATTTAATGGGGGAAAAAAATAAAACAAAACAAAAAACAAAAATAGGAAAGAAAAAACAACAGAGTAAAGAGTTAAATACAAAAACAGTTGATCCTTTCTTGCTATTTATATTAAAGTGAATTGGACTTATTTGAACTTGTAAGGCAAAGTTACTTGTTAAAAAACCACAAGATTGATGAAGAAATACAAAAGAATGCAAGAATGTATTGACAGTGTTAGCTCATAAATTGGTAAAATTAATAAAACATAAAATACTTTGATCTAATACAGTAAATAAATGTTTGAGAAAAAAATATCAAACTACATTTTTTAAAGATCATAGGTCATATTTTAAAACAATATTTACCCTATACCACTGAGAAATTTGAGAATTACGAATATCCAATAACTTGGTATGATGGATGCGAGAAAATCAACGGCAAATTGTAAAAATAAGGATGCTAAGAGTGCAACTTTTCGGCCCTTGATATCCGCTACGTAACCCCAAATCCAAGTGCCCGTTACCATGCCTAAAAAATGCCTTTGGTTGAATTTTACTCAAAAATGAGCGTCAATCCTTTAAATATTTACCCAGCATTGGAGCCGCGTTTATGCGACCCTTGTCTATAGTTGTCATTTGAAAGTCACAGGCAGCCGTGGAGATAACAAAACCGACACTCGTAATGCAAAATGCAGTGTTCAAATAGATAAGAGATGCAATCATCGTTATTCCGATGTTGAACTTGCCAAAACCTAGAATAAATAATAGCAGTGTATATATGAACAGATGCACTAAAAATGTGTGGTAGGAATTTATAATGTTTTACCGGTTCTTTCGAGGGCTTTTTGTACAACGGCCTCTTCAACATACATTTCTGGAATATTTAAAAATTATAATCCAACTTCTAGAAATTCTCTTCGATAAATAAATTCTCCAAAAGTCAAGGAAAAAACTGTTTTATCGTGCAATATAAGTTTCAACGAATACTGTGCTATATCCAAATGTTATTTATGTTTTTGTTGATATGTTTCTAAAGAAATGTATATTTGTAAAGATAAGCTTTTCCTATTTCAAAAAATTGAGCTTTCACGATAAAGCATACGTGGACATGAATAAAGAAACAAAGTTGGTTCTTTATAATTCGTAACTCGTTTAACAGTGCATCGATATATTTAGTTTTAATTTGTTACGCTTTATCTAATAATGATAAATTATAAATTTTCATCACCATAATATATGTAGGAACAATGAAACATTGGCACATAATAAATATAATGTAAATATACATTGTAATGGAAAGCACAAGTGACTTGAGTTTAATTAATAAATTAAAATTTAATGTGTGTGTTCGATAAATGTATTCAAAAAACTAAGTGGTTCTGACAGCTAGATTCATGCATCTTTAATAAAAAATTACCAAACATCTAACTTTTATTCAAAAAAGTGTGTAAGAAATTAAAAAAAAAATTTTTTTTTTAGTCATTTTTTAAAGTTTCGAGTATGTCTTTACAAAATTTTAGATCCTAATATACAATAGCTGACAACCAAGTGCCATGAGAAACATCTCTAACTTTTTAAAATGAGTTTATTCATGTCGTAGTATCAACTAGTTAAACGAACAGTCTTTGGGTCGACGTGTGTAGCTATCTTATAGAGAGCTACTCAGCATTTAGATTACTTTAAGTTAAAAGTATACCCTAGTAAATTACATATACTTAAGTAAATATATTAAAAATTATTTCACTGTCATTTTGTTTGAAACTTTTAACACTTGATAGTAGATGACAATTGTATAAGTTAAACGAAAGTGCCGATGTTTCTTAAAACTGCATTATTATTATACATTGTCAAAGAGATTCTTAGTTTTTTGTATGTGTTATGCAGTAAAACAAGATATTCTGATTTGTTTAAGATAAAAAATCGTTAAGGTCAACGACTGCTATTCAATCATTACTGGTGGTATCGCACTAAAATTAGTAATCCTAAGAAGTACTTTTGTAACAAAAACAGACAATCAGTTTATTCAGAAATTAAATGGTATTCCTATGCAAGTATCATTAGTGCAAAATTGATTTTAATATAAATTCGTTTTTATAAAGTACACCACATAACAATTTTGTTTCAACATTTGCACGATCATCTCAAAATGCCTGTAAGTCAGTAATAAAGTTTTTTGGCAAACAAAATTCAACTACAACGGTTTTTATTTAGAAAAATATGTAATTCGTCAGGAAAAGCATTTGCATCAAAAAGTGGCTTAAGATTTAATCTTAAATATTTAGGATAAAGAAACTTTTAAGGATGTAACTATTTTGTTATAAATAAACTTATTGACACTGAAAAATAGACAAGATGCAAGTAGACAACAGCGCTGTCTCAAGGCAAAATATTGAGTCATGGCAATAAAATGATAACAGAGAATGTTACTGTTTATCAGCATGAATAATTTTTCAACCTTCCAACTTTAAAATAGTACCTTCACTACTTGATTTTAGGTTATCTGGCGGAAAAACAGTATACGAACTATTTCGAAAAGCTTCTTTACAAACCTAACTACGGCCTTCACCTTTGCCTCGTGCTGTAAGCCTGTCGCTTTGTAAATCAAAGACTTTTCAAACTCCATAATATACAATTTTTTTGGGTACATGAAAACTATACTGTTATGTTAGCAATTTGCTCATATATGCTATTTTAAAACAAAATTCTTTTCAGTTCAGAAGAATGTTGTGATGAGCAGCAAAAAAACGTTCACTTATACCGTTTCTTGTTAATTGACAACTTATTGTACGGTCATTCAAATTACCATCGATGAAACTGATAAGAAAATGATCTAGTGCACAGGTGAAAAGTAAATTTTTTTTGATAGTTAACAGCATGTTTTTAACAAAAAAAAAAAAAAGTTTGATCTTAAAATAATATAGATGAAGATTCTTAAATCAACTACTAAAAACTAAAAAAATTAGAATCCATTTACAAGAATAAAAATTATTAATGGCGATAAACAGTGCTATTTTCTGTTATTGTTTCATTGCGATGACTCAAATTCTGCCACTGGGTGGCAATGATGTCAATCTGCTCCTGGCATATGAGTACAAGTGACTAGATATTTTGCAGATAATTATATGGTTTTCCGAAATATTAAACAACCCTTTATATAGAAAACTCCTGGGTTTATCAAAAATCATCTATGTGGAAGTTCTCATCTTTAATTTTATAATCAATTTTTAACCATCTGAAGTTAGTCATGATTTGTGGCTGGTTGCCTAGTCTGTGAAATGCAGATGGCTGATGTAGTTTGACGTTCTGAAGGAAATTAATGTAGTAAAGTTTTCAACAAAATTATAAGAAATAAATTTTGAGCACATTGAAAAATATTAAAGTATCGTACATTTGGTGGTGAAATTTTTTTAATATACATTATGCCAATAAATTAACATGCTATGTGTTTGTTTTGTATAAACAGTTTTATTAAAAATTAAAATATAACTTTATTTCCCAATAAAATATGAAACAAAAATCTCATTACGATAAAATTAAATGAATAAAAACTTAGAAATTATAATCCAACTTACAGAGACTTTAGATCTTCATATTAGATTTTAATATTCAACGTATAATAGTAATTAAGAGTTAAAAATCAAATAATCAATAGAAATTCATACTCATCTTAGGCTTTTTTTACAGGTTGTTCAATAAACAATGATCAAAAATGATAGTTTCACGTAGTTTCTTTTGCTCATAATATTTCAGTGAAGTCTTATTTCTGTATAAATGGTAAACTAGGTAACTTATTAGAAGTTCATGCAATGAAAAAATCCTTTTTATGTTATGCTAATTTTTTAAAATGTTATTACTATCAATACGTTTAATATTATTGTTCATACTACTATCGTTATTATCGTTGTTATTGTTATTGTTGATGTCATTGTTGTTATAATTTGTGTTAAATCAAATGTTGTATTTAAAAAGTTTTTATTTAATTTTTGAACCAACAAGTTTTTTAAATGAGAAATGAGCCTATAAAACTTAACTCATACTCACTGTAACAAAAAAGTCTGCTTCATTGAGTGGAAATGTAGTGTATCTGTAATGATTCCCTTATTCGTATGTGAAACAATACATTTGTTTATTTTTCACTTTACTTATCTATCCAAAATGGTTGTAAAATTAATTTTCTAATCTTTCATACATTTCAACTTCATTAAATGACTTTTACCATCACAAAAAATAAAATATGATCTACCATGCAAGTATTAACTAAAAAAAAGACGATTCTGTTTCACGTCGAGACGTCTCCTCTTCTCTCCAACTTGGGTTACTCTATGATCGCAAGACATTGATCACTTGCTTTCTTGTACGATTTTTGATCACGTGGCCCGTTCTCTCGACCCATCGGCGCCGCTGACACAGTTAAAAGAATCTTCGTACACATTTCAATGAACACAGTCTGAGATTAAAACCACTCTTTTCTTCGCTTCAAAGAGCTCATGTTGGGTTGTTTAAGTTCTTAATTTAATTCACCAGGTGCACATGTATTTAAAACTAATTATATATTATAATTAAATATGAGAATCAATGAAAAATACAACACGTAAAGATGTGTCCAATTCAAATGTAGTAGATTGTATCGGGTCTTTGGAGAAGAGATGTAAAGGAAATGCAAAGATCATATGACACGGATGGAACTCAAAATCAGCTCAAGTCTTCGTTTATAAGCTCCAAGGCTGCGAGACAATATTTGTCAGCATCACAAGTAGACTGAGCTTTCGATAGCATTCGAGGAAATTAAATGCTCATTATCAGTTGCGAGGCATATCAATGCCTTAGTTCATTTACTCTGTTATCGACCAATTTTCATGTGGATTATCTTTTTTTTTTTTAATAGAAATTATTCATATACTGCTAGTAGCTGACACTTCATTACAGTCAGAGCTGCAATAAGACATTTTAATAAAACTATTCTTAAAATTACAGTTTGTGTTGTATTTACTAATACAACCTTAAGGGTCATTGTGAAAAGATATAGATATACCGAGTAACTGGGTCAGAAATATAATAAAGAATGACGTCTATTAACAATACTCGCATTGGTAAGCTTTTCAAGGTCATAATTGAGTGGGATAAAAATTTTTTATAAATAGTTTTTCAATGGTTTCTGATAGTTACAGCTGTATAATATTTTTAATCATTTATAGAAAAAAAGTCTTTAGTGTTTTGTGTTATTAGATTCATTAACTATTAAAATAATACTTTAAATTCAAAGAAGGGAAGGGGTCGAAAATTTCAGAAGAGGATTTGAATTTTAAGCAGTTTAAGAATGTCATTAAATTAAACTTGTGTTCATCCAATATTTTATTTTAACTTTGTCAAATAATTGGTAACTAAATTTCACTATTAAAAAAAAAACTCGTTTGAACAACACTAAGAAGAGGTACAATTATTCTACCATGGCCGAAAAAAATTCGAACCCACCACTAAAACGGCCACCATCTATTGGGTTGGAGAAAAAACATTTTTCGTAATACTTGAAAGATTATCTAGCCTGTCTTTAGCGATTTTAAAATGCATGTATGAAAATATACTATCTACATTTACTCATTCTTTAAACTAGGCCTTCTTATTTCACAAAAATTAGGAATTTAGAGTAGTTTTGATGCCATGCGGAAAAAATAATTGACACTTTGTATATGCCCGACGCTCAATGTAAGACAATATTACTTTACATACATAGAATTATTTGAAAACTATTTGAACATCATACTTTCGCTTGAAACTCTAATAATATCTTGAATTTTTTGACCCCCCTTCATCGCTACTTATAAAACGAGTGTCTTTTTTCCGAAAAGTTATAATTACGAAGCAGTCATTTGTAAAACTGTATAGTAAGGGGTAATATTTAAATATAGTAAATAAAGTTGTGTAATTATGCAACAGACTATTTAAACAGCTGATGTAAAAAAAATGCTGTGATATTATAAGTTTTCATTTGTAATACTTAATCTCAGAAGGTTTGAGTTTCCGAAAAACTTTTTCACAATAAGTGTACCGAATCAAAGAAACAACGTTTTTTATACCGGAACAGAAATTAAACTTTAACTTTTACAGTTATAACTTTCAGAAGTTGAATGATACGAACTTTTTGCGTTACGAATGCGAATGCGAGGCGCATGCGTATACGTGGATATAATTTTAAGGTGCGAATAGACACAGCGTTTTTTAAATTAAATTAATAATAAAGAGCGGTAACTGATTGAGAATATCTAAAAAATTTGTAATTCAGAACACTTTACAATAAAAAATCTAAAAAATACGAACAGTCAAAATCCGAATTTTTCAAACGGATCATATACAACGTAGAATTCCATACATCATTTATATTTATCAGTACTATATTATTTTACAGTAAATAACTATTGTCCTGGCCACGATAAAATATAAAATACCATAAAATAACTTTTGATTTGGTGTTATTTAGATATCACGGAACTGCTAAAAGTATGGAATATACATCTGCTGTGGATTTACTATCTGACCACAATAAAAGCCTTGCCAAAGCCAATGTGCAGGTAGACGTTTTCATAGGCGATGGTGATACTTCAAGTATCTCCCAGGTTCGAGCAAACACAAATCATGATGTAACCAAATGGTTAGACAAGAACCGTACAGTAAAAAGTTTAAACAGCTTTCTATTCCAGTTGAAGCCAAAGTACAGTTTGATAATAGTGTCATAGAATATTTAAACAAAAGCTTTAGGTACGCTTTGTCTCAAAATAGAAATAACGATAGTGCCACTGCTTGTGCAATAAGAAAAATGTTGTGAGCCATGCACTTTAATCCCATGATTCGTGTGGAATCTGGTGTTTATACTGAGAAAGTCCTGAAAGTTACAAACATCATCGGCTGCCTGATGGTAAACATTTAGTTGGTAGGTAACAATCTTAGAAAATACTTGGAGGCGATATTTGAGCAGTTCGCAGCAAGTGCAATAAGTTTAACATCGGGAGGTTTTTGGCAAGCCAATAAATGTTCCAACCACATTGTAACCAGTAAATCACCGAAGAACCGACTTTATGGAGGGACAAATAGTCACTACAGAATTTGCGCTGCTGCTGCCTAAACAAACCTAGGATCCCAGCATTTGACAAAATCTTTTGACAAACTGGTTTTATTGCAGGGGATGCTGCCGAATAATTTCGAAAAAGGAGAGATTACGTCAGAATTCGTCGTTCAACACAAAACAAAAACTATTTCGTTAAAAAAATATAGACTACAAGTAAAAAAAAATAATAAGCTGAAACGGTTGGGCAAAAATAAGAAAGAGGGTTTGTCCTATACATCTAATGTTGCCTTTTTACAGACTTCACAAGTTGTATCTTAACCACAAGTAAAAACTATTGATAAGTTTCCGCATGATTGTACTATAATTTACGGATAGATATTAAAAACACAGGTTTCCACGCTGACGCTGAGCCTCTGTAAATTGCAGCAAAATATGCTGGCACCAGCTTACATAATTTTTGTAAGTATGTATACTCTCTCAATTTAATCCCTCTAAAAGTTCGTGAGGTTACTGGTTTGAGTGTAAAAGGTAGTCAATTGTTACTAAAACATAAGCTGATTGCAGTAACAAGCCTGAAAGTATTGCTTCAAAATTTTCTACAATATTTGCAAGAGTTCTAAAAAACCAGTTGAGTTAGTTAGACGCAATTCTTTCAAATTTGACTTTCCTCGAATGTACAAAGATGTATGTAAATTTTATTAACTTCAAGAATTTTGCAATACTGTTTGCGGCTTTGTAGGTATTTTTTCAAATATGTAAACAACTTCCTGCTGTTTCAAAGCAAGAAACGTCATCAAAACAATCAACTTTGGCTCAAAAATATGTAGTAGATTATTCAGATGAAGACACTCATGAGGCTTTGAATGATTGCGTTACTTTGGAAAAAATCTGCGAAGCATTGAATCTAAGCAAAGAGCTCATCGCTAGCGCTATTACGATGGGTTCGTTTTTGCATCTTCAGAAAAAAGCATCGTTATCTTCACATTCATTGGACTTGCAACCATTGCAAACAGTTCTTTCTCCAACCATGACCAAACGGCTTGCTGAAAATGAAATGTCTATGTCTGTTCTTGAAGATGCATTAATGCACGGTGGAAAAGCATCGATTCAGACGTTGCTTGGAGAATATGAAGGATACGGTTACGTGAAGGTGACAAAAAAAAAAGATTGCCGAATCGTTATCAAGTTACTTAAAAAAAAAAAAATGCAGAAAAATAAAATATTAAAATAAAATGTGAAACTTGAATTTTTTTTTTCGTAAGCCAATAAAACAATTCTTCTGGGAACACACACACTTGCATATGGCTATATATACATATGCAGCTGCTCTGTTGTCAAATATTTGAGATATTCACGTATGCAGCAGACAAGTTACATGACAACTCTTAAATAATTCACTACTTCGTTTGTATATCAGTGATCCAACAGTTTTTAAATTGTATCAAATAGTACGAATTGTAAATTTTTTAATGGTATATTTCTCAGAATTTTCGTAGTTACTCAAGTAGCTCTTTTTGCCTGTATTCGAAAAGTTCTATTGTAACCTGTGTTAAAATTTTAAACTTGCAACTTTATTATCTCAAAGATCAATGTGGTAGGAACATTTTTGTGTAATTCATTCCGAAAAAGAAAAATTTAATCTATAACATACATTTTTTCATGGAAACCGAAGTTAAAAAGTGGCAGGTGATAGACTACCTTAAGAGAAAGACGAAAAATGAGGTGTCAAACGAATAATATGTAATTTCATTTTTCGTTAAAAACAAAAAAACTTAAAAAAATAAAATAAGAGGGCACCAGGGATATTTTAATACGGATAGCAGAAAAAGTCAGTTCATTACTGTGCACCCAAACAGTATGTCTTCAAGTGGTCTGATCATCAGTTGTAGCACTCAGACTCTTTGTAAAAGTTTCTGTTTAATATCTCTCAAATCTGTTTCGATGTGTTGTCAATGGAGAAATAATCAGAGCCACAATACCCTTAGACAAGCAAAAAGTAGGTACAGCCCAGGTCTAGTGCACAAAATATCTATCAAGGACAATAACCGCGTGCTTTATCACTTTACCAGGCGACGAATCCACGGCCTTGATCAACCTAAAATGAAGAGATCTGTTTGGCTGATACCAGAGCGTTACCAATCTGTATTCAAGGGTTCGACGCATCAATACACATCAATACAGGCTGGAGTCATAATGGTTCCGTAGTCGTGGTCTAACATGTTAGGCGGGAAGTTCGAAAATTAAATTGCTATTAGATAGTTTGGATAACATAACTTCTCTCGTTAGTGAATTTCATACTTGGCGCTTGAACAATTAAGCCACGGTTACTGCACCATTTTCTGGGCTTAGTAATTGACTCAAGCACACTCCTTAGCGCATCAGGTTTAATGAAAGGATTTTTTCCATTTGCCATATAACTCGCTCTACTAACCTTTTGAAACTTATAGTAGTTTTACCAACGATCTAATCAAGTGTTAGATTCTCTCAGAAATCATGCTCCTGGATGTCCAGAAAAAATCCATTGACCTTAGTTTTTTGGTAACCTGGGTACGTATTCTATTAATAAGCTTAAAAAAAAACTTAATATTTCTGCGATGGATTTAAAACCCACGACTTCTTGAATTTCCCTGGCTTGGAGGCTATTACGCTCACTACTAAGTTATCAAAGTTCCATTCCATAATAAAGTAAAGTTTTGATAAATCAACTGCCAAGAGAAAGTTATTACCAGTTTTCTTTTAATTTTGTTATTCTACAATTTCTTCCAGACAGAAAAATGATATTAATTACATAAGTAAATGCAAATCATACTATTACGAAATAAAGAGCGTGTTTGATTTACTTGCTAAAAATGGAAATGTGTGCGAGAGAGACAGATATCCAGGTTCGATGTTGTGTCTCTTTCTACTTGTGCTTCAGCGCCGTACATAAGAACGAGCAGTCTATTTTTCTTGCATGTCTATGGTCACAACTGCGATTGGCCTGCAGGATCGTTCTTGCGTTCCGAATCAAGAAGCGGCTGCTTGACGGGAGCCGACCCGGCATCCGACACAACCCGACGCTTTCGGCTGTCATCGTGGATGAGACTATGGGGCGTTGTACGACAGTGTTGACATACGTCTAGGGACGGGCACAAGTGCGCCAGGTATCCTGGTCTCAGGCAATTGAAGCAGAGCTTGGCCTGCGCCATCAGGGCTCGTTGGGCGGGCACGTTCAGCACTAGGAACTGGCTGTAGTGGTCCATGTAATGAGGCGCATGGCATGCGGGGTAGTCCATTTCGGCAGCGTGGGTGGTCAAAGTCCGGTGATGACGAGTGCTAGATGTAGGTGGAGCACGCGAGGCCTCCATCGAAGTCAGCGATCGGTCGCACCTCCTGAGAAAGCTGAACAGTGCGGCGAACGTAGCCACATCCCCGTGTGCCGAGGGAGTCGCTTCCAATTTCTCGAGATCGTCTTCCCATGCCCTGCGAGTGGATGGGTCCATGGCGGTTGATGCGAAGGAGACCAGCCACACATCCCAGTGCTCGACGGGCTGCTTTAGTGCTTGCAGTTGGTCCCGGTGCTTCTCCAAAGTGTTCAGCAGGCCCTGCAGACCCTCGGACTCGTCGCGGAGTGGCTTGAGCACCCTGAGTGCCATGACGTGATCCTGTACGAGGAGGTGGTGATGCTCAAACCGTGAAGTGAGGAGGTTCCAGGCCGTTGAGTAATTGGACTGCCAATCTTCCCAGCGCCCTGAAAAAAGTGGAAAATTGATGCTCGACAGGCGAGGGCCAGGGTGCGCTCCGGCGAGTGATGACGAGTCTCCATTTCCTGAGAGGGGCGTTACTAGCGCGCTTCTGGCATCGTATAGAAATGCCTTGGCGCTGAGGTAATGTTGTTCACCGGATTTATACAGGAGTCTGAGGGGGTCGACTTAGTCCTTGGGAGTAAATCTAACCAAGTCGGGCTGGTTGGCCTAAAATCGGCCCAATAGCTGCTGAACAGCTCCAGTCTAGCTTCGATGAGACCCATGCTTCAAACTTCGATGCCTTGGACGGATTGTACAAACTGGTCTAGCACCTCGAGAAGAGCTTGCTGCGTGGCGAAACCGTCTGACTAACCTTCGTTCACCCTAAAGAGATCATATGTTAGACTCGACACTCGTCTCCCGAGCGCAGCCTGATCACACATGATACAGTCAACAGTCTGAGCTGGCTAATTGCGTTAGGGCGTGGTTTTCACGACATAAACTGCACGACAGTTGTTTGAACGGTTTCCACTCAGCGCGTCACATGAGGACTCACATAAGATCGCATTGCTCGTTACTTGGTGCAGCTCGGTACGATTGCATCACGTGCACTCAGGGCCCGCATTCTCTCCTAACCTCGCAATTTTCTTTGCGTGGCACGACTCTGTCTGACTGCATCACGTGCAATAGAGGCCCACTTTTCTCGATGTGTGCTTGGACGTAGAGAGTTTTGTCTCACATGCAAACGACTTACTTTCATTGCAAATAAGATGACGCAGGTTCTGGCTGTCTTTAGGTTGACGGAGGCCTTGAGGTAACCTGTCCTCAGCTGCACGATCTAACCAACTTAATCTGGCTTGAAGGACCAATGTTGGATTTACTTTTATTTATTGACGGAATAAATGATCGATACAGAACGCTGATGCGTGGCTGCTAAGTTCAGCAGAGTTTACAACGTAAAAGTAATACACGAGGACAGTGCTGTCGAGTCAAAAAGATATGATGGCTGCTGTGCTGGCCTGACTCGACGTTTTTCTTTTAGTCTCCCCTTTTGACCGTTGATGAGCAGCCGCGGCAGCATGCGGGGTCTCCGTGCAAGCGGCTGAGGGGGCGAGACGGTAGCAGCCGCAAAATACAAATCAACAGAGTGAGTATTCAGCAATGGTAAGAATCATCACTTTTGGGTAATATTTTTATAATTATTGTATATAAAATTTCGAATTTTGTGTACTTTACGTTTAAAAGTCCAAACTCATTGATTATAAGGATTTTATAAAAATGTCTTAGACCAATACGGAATATAATGATGGTCTCAAAAAATTTAAATATCATTTAGCTTTTGGCTCTAAATTAACAAATTTTTTATCTTTATTTTATTTTATTATTGGCTATACACTTGATTTATTACTAATGAATTAAACTTTTTTCGTCTCGATAAGTAAATCATACATTCTTAAATTCTTCAGCTTAGACCTACTTAGAGTCAAATATCGACAAAATTACAAAATACTAGCTAATTATATCACGTGAAAGTTATTTTAATAAAACTGAATGAAGTCTTTTGAAAAAAAATATTCCTTGTGGATAATTTGGCTTCAGATTTTATGAAACATCAATACTTAAATTCACGCATCGAAGTCTCTCATCTGAAAAATACTTCATCTTCGTGGTTCGTATTATTCCTGAGTTTATCAAAAGATGATGAATATCACTTGTTCCTTAAGTTTTCATGTTCCAGAGGTGAGAAAACTACCCTTTTGTAGCCTTTTGAAGTCATTAGGATGGGTTGAAAGCTTTGTTCTTAATTTTCTTGCTTGGAAAACCTTGGATCTTTCTCATTTTGTTTCTACTTGGTGTGGCCCAGCATAGAACGGAGGCAACTGTAACATCAAAATTGTTTCAAAAATCAATATTCTACATGTCCTCATTATTCTGAGTTAATAATTTCATTAAGTCAAAGTTGAAAATGAATATACAATCGATATATGAACTCACGAAACAGTTGAGCTGCCATTACTATGATAAGTACAGTGCAATAATCGTCTATGAGATAAGCAAACAGCATGTTGCCAAAAAGCGAGCCCACACGGCCGACGAACAGCGTAATCGCTGTTGCCATGACCCTTTAGAAAGATCATAAAACGTCAGTTAAGGAACTTCTTTTCCTACGTCAATCTCAATTGTTTACATACCTGAGATTCGTAGGGAACAAATCTACTAAAACGCAAAATATAACACTAATGTTAAGTGAAGTGAACGCCTCGAATATGCACGAGAGTACGAGATTTTGCGTGGATGTCTTCACAAAAAAGAATGCTATAGTTGTGGCACAGGCGATAGTAGCCGTGAATACTGAAAATATTAAAAATGGATCAAATAATTATTTAGTAGTGATTGAAAATGATCGAATCTCTTTAAATAAATTATAGCGACATGACTCTGTAAGAGATGGAAATACAATGAGAATACAAATGTTTCGGGGTTACTGAATCACAATGTACGAAGCATAAGTGTTGTATCTTAACTGTTTACGTACGGAGATAGATGCGATAGCCGAGGCGATTGACCGTCAGTGGAAGTAGAATTGCGAAAGGAATACAAGCAGCGCCTAGCAGTGCCGAGTTTACGTATACACTCGTGTCCATCTGGCTGTCACAGCCAAAGGGGTCACTCAATTGTTCTATCTGAAACAGTTCTTCCTTGATTAAATATTATTTTCTGAAATAAACCAATATGGATTAATTAAACGATTACAGATTGTAAAAATCAACGTACATGAAGTGAGTTATTGCTCGCTGCAAGGCGCTGAGATACGGTGCAGACACTAGCAAATTCTTCAGGAAAGGTTTTTTCAAAGGTAGCGAATCGTTGGAACAGTTCCGGGAACCACGTCATGAGGGAGTAGTAAGTCGAGGTCATGCAGAACATTATGGAACTTGTGGTGATGAGTCTCTTGGCGTATGGCTTTTGAATTAATGTTCTTGCCTGTATCTTGGAACTGTTCAGTAGCTCCTTGAGCTTTTCTTTTTTTGTCAGCACGACTTTTTTTGTCCTTTCGTTTTCAGTTTCTTCTGTTTGGTTAACCAGATCACTGATTGACGGAATGGTACAACTTGATAATTTTTCCTATTGAATTGACATATTTATTTAATCAAGCACATGGAAGTACAAGAAAAAAAAAAAAATGAAAATTTTATTCTTATCAAAACAGAAGAGCCTACCTTAAACTGGTCTGGAGTTTTACCGGTGTTTTCCACAAACATGCGCATTAGGACCTTTAACATGATCTCACGCTCGCCATTTTCAGCCAGATATTTGGGAGTTTCTGGCAAGGTAATCAACCAAATTCCAGCTATTAGGGCTGGCAAGGAACTCATTAAAACAAATAAATTCCAGGAACTCATTTGGAAAAAGTCACCTTTGTATTCAAACGTCAATGGTATAATGGCCCAGGCGAAGACTGTAGGCAAGTAAAAAAAACTATTCAAAATAACATTATCAAGTTACCCTCACTTATAACAAACTTTGTTTGTAAAATACATCGAATGATACATGATATTTCTATGATGACTTTGAATAGTGTCTGCGTAATAGATGAAACTTTAAAAAAGTTTCGTTAAAAATTTAGAACAATACAAATGTATTTTTTTAAAAATATTGATCTATTTTTAATCATTTCAAGAAATAGACTTACGAGCAACTACTATGACCCCAATCGCCCAAGATAGTTCCATCCATGACAGTATCCGATGACGATATTTTGTTGGTTGAAATTCACCGAGGTACGTAAAAACAATTGATAGCTGACCAGTTACACTAAAAGATACGTGAAAATTAGAGTTCCAGAGAATTTTGGGAGTTGGCTTTCTTTAGTTCTACTATATTTTTTTTTTTTTTTTTTTGAGAGAGAGAGAGAGAAAGAGAAAATGCCTTGATGCACACTGCAGGAACAACGGTAGTTTGTGACTCAGTGGATTTTTTTTATTAGATTAGTAATACCCACTAAACCCCTCCCTTGTGCCCAAAAGCTGTAGTTTCACCCTGGAACCGCGTTAGCATTACTTCAGGGTGGAGCCACCAGGGAGAACATTGTATCCCACAGCATTAGCGAGCAAACCTTATTGTAGTCTTATGGAAAAAAAATATTATGTACCCAAACACTACATTTTTCTGAGTAATACAGGTTGGATACCTAATAATCTGATCCAAAAATAAAGTAAAAATGTGAAATGAGACTCTATAGAGATGATTTAATGATCTAGAACGATTTCTTTTTATTGTGGGCGTGTATCTGTTCTTAGAAAAAAAACGTTTTTTTTTTTTTTTTGTAAAAAAATGTTATTTAAGATTTAAAATTATCTTAAAAACATTTGATGATTGAATTTTAAGTTGGTAATACTTTAAACGACAAAATCTTTTTCCGACTGGTTTTTTCAGTTTTTACGATTAAGCGTTTTTGTTTTACTTCTTAAAAAATTGTGCTACAAGAAAAAGTTGTATTTTAAGGAGACACATAATTTTGTCTATAAAACTTTATTCCTGTTGAACATTAATCTGTAAAATTATACTTAAAAAAATGGTTTTCATTAAAATTTGATTATTAGTATTGAAAGTATCTTTAATTTTATATTCTTTGATAAAATCTTGCAAACGTAAACTATCAAACCCGTTTAAGAACAAAAATTTATCCATAAAATTTCAGTTGTATCTTTTTATAAATCACTTGAATTGTTATAAAAACTCAATTAATTTCATTCCATAAAATGCGTAAGTTAAACTTGTTTCTTTTTTCAAAATAGCTACTCTTTCACTCTATTAAAAATTAAATGCCAGTGCAGATCAGAAGCGACAAAAACTAAGGTTTGCATGCAATATTATCCTAGCTCTGAATAAAAAGTCTACATACCCAATACCACTAAGAAACTTGAAAAATACAAGGGCCCAGTAGCTTGGAACGATAGATGCAAGAGCGTCAGCGATGAATTGCAAGAACAATGATATCAGCAGCGAGATCTTTCGTCCTTTCAAATCTGCCATGTAGCCCCAGATTCCAGAACCAACGACCATACCTTTGAAAATTAAAAACTGACTGTTACTTTTTTTCTTCATCTTCAAATGAGAGATTGATAGTGCAAAGAACATTTCATGTAGTTGCAAGAAATATCTTTTGCAGTACTTTGTTTTCAGTTACTATTTCAATAAAGGCCTCATAAAACATTTTTGTAGGTAGATCTAACAAAAATTGTTTATTTACTAGCAGCAATGCTTCCAATAAATCAGATGTAGTATATACTCTAAGCCATGATAAGTTAGGATCAATTATATAGGTAAAAAATTGTGTAAATTATCAAGCAGACCATTTGAATTGTAGTATTAAAAATAGTTAACCAGAGCAGGATGAAAGCAGAATTGACAAAAATTTACATTATAACTAAATAAGTTTTTTAGATAGGAAAAACAAAACACACGCTGCAAGGAGCATAATTGCTGTCCGTGGCCTTGACGTACAAAATGACCAGAGAATCCCCGACTCTCATCAAAAGCTATAATTGCAGTTCGTCAAAGAATTTACAGATAGGCCTGTAATTATTCTTAGCAACGAGTTTTATATGCACGTGAGTGAGAGATCATCTTTGATTTACTTGGAAGTTAATTATAACGCTAAAACACGTAACAAAATTGATTTTTAATTTGCACCTATAAGTGTTACCGTGATTTATCTAGTTGTTAGAGCCCATATCGTATATTATTTGCATAAACAAAAGATAATAAGCTGGTATAAAATTCAATTTTACTTTAAGCTTGTGTATCATTACATTAGAAATGTAATGCTTAGTTGTCCCACGTTACTTTGTACCACAACCATTTATTTTATAGTTTAAACTTGAACTTATTTGCTTATAACGATTGAAAGCTCATGTGAAGACAATTTTGAAAACATTCCAGTATTGCAAAAAAATCTGTCTAAAGCAATACGTGGTAACAATAAAAAGTACAAACACAATAACGATGTCATCAATAACAACGTAATGCATGGATACCGATAATTTATGTACTCAATGTGTAAAATAATTTCTGGTTTTTGCTTAATGCAATAATCTGAGTCAGCTTTACTGACAAGAAAAAATTGCCATTCATTCTCACTCACAAAATACATGTATATCGTGTAAACTTTTTTTTGTAGAGAAAAACAGTATTCTAGTAAATATCACCATTTTTTCTTATTTAGATGGAACTATGAAAAAATGTACAAATAGCAAATAAACACAGTAATTTTATGCTTGTACGATCGGTATTTTTAAGGAAGGTACCATACAATTGTGATTTACAACAGTTACTGGTCAACGTCACGATCAGTCAATTATGAGATTTTCACTCAAGAGCTTACTTTGGTATAATGACAATATTTTGAATATGTGTACGCGTTAAATCAAGTTTTTCATTCTCAATGTACAAATTTTAACTATACAAAAACATGTTGGTTACGTAATATACCATTTTTAATCTAATAACGGTATTTAAAAATAAAATTAAAATGCAAGGGTACAAATAATAAGATATTGGATCATAAATGGACAAAAATAACTTTTTAACTTTTTAAATTACTTTCCCTGCCATTGAAATTCATAATAGTTTTTTTTTATTTAGTTGTTGTCATTTGCATTTTAAATATCGTTTAAAATGAATAATTGTCATCGCTGTAGATAATACTAATTTCATTTTCTCTATTAACGAAACCAAATGGCTTTTAAGTATGACAGTATGGAGATGATAACAATAAAACTTTGCGCAACCAAAATATGTCATTGTAAGTAAACATCATTAACCTTGTTTAGAGTTGATTTCCAATAACACCAAAATAAGAAAGAAAAAATGAATTACGGCGAGAAACACAGTTCATACCGAGCATAGGAGCTGCATTGATGCGTCCTTTGTCGATAGTCGTCATTTGGAAGTCACAAGCCGCAGTTGGTATGACGAAACCGACGCTGGTTATAGAAAACGCACAGTTCAGGTATATGAACGCGGATACAGCCGTTACCTTCAAATTGAACTTGCCGAAGCCTATTGAGGTTTGATTATTGAAAAAAACTTTTTTTGATTTGTTCTCGTAATTTCACGTTTCATAATCACCTGTTTGCTCGACAGCTTTTTGCGCCACAGTTTCCTCAAGATACATTTTGGAACGCAGACAAGGATATTGTGTTGTTTCTATTATTTCCACTCCAATCGCCTAGAATCGATGGTAGAGAGACGGACTTGCGACCAGTACCCCTGGATATAAGACTCGATAACTATCGTGTCATTTGCATTGACACGCGTACTAAGTGGCGCAAACTTGTATTAATAATAAATTTTATTGATCAAAGAAAGCTTCAAAACAGTATGTTAATAATTTTTTGAGATTCTCCTCAATATTCAACGTATGCTTGCATTATGTAATCGCACTCTTATCTTTATATTACTGTGTAATACAATTAATGTCACGACAGACGTAAGAATGTATCAAGGCAGAAACAATGACCGATCCGAGTCATTAATTAATTGTCAAATTTAGTGTACTCACTTGCCTCCGTTCGCTGGGATGTGTGGTTAAAAATTGGGGATTCCAGGCACCGAGCAGCGATCGGTTCGTGCGATACCGATCTCCTGTCATCGGGAGTTACCGCGTATCATACGGAAGGTGGAAGTTCTTTTGTCGATTCCGGCATTGATAACCCCTTGTACCTCGACAGTATACATCTAGATTGCGTGACCAAGCGTCCCGGATGAGCTTTTCTCCGAGCAAGCTTTTTTTACTGGAATTCAAATTTTTTTTTTTTTTACAAACTGTGGAGGATACGTTACTAGATAACGATCAGTGGTTTTTTGTCTTGCAATGTAACATTGTATATAATTTTCCTGCCATACTCTTGTAAATTTTTTTTAACACTTTACGCGTTTCTCATTGCATAGCAATACTAGAAATAAGCTTTCCAATGAAGGGAATAATAATATCATGAAGCATAATTAATTAATAAATTTTCTATTAAATGTATTCGAAATTACAATGCAGAGAAACATTTTAAATTTTAACTGTTCAAATTAGTCCACATATACGATTAAAAAATTTTACTTGATGTGAACGAACAAACTTGTCAATGCATTAATTTTCTTTTATTTCGGTACTTTTGTTTTATTTGATGCCTTTTTCAATATTTTTCTGGTACGTAATTCATGCAATGACAGCTATGATGATTGTATCTCATCGTACCCGTCTCACGTGTGTGAAACCTTCTTCGATCAATGATTATTATTCATAATTAAATTTAATGTATTTGGTTGAAATCAACAATAAAAATTAATTATACAGCGATTGCAGCTAAATAATAGCCAATTTAGTAAGCCGTACAACATTTTGATGATTTTAATGATATCCGACACATAAATATATTTTTTCAATAAAACATAAGTCTCATTAACTTTTTTTTCCTCAATGGTTAAAAACTGCATACATCTTAATTAGTTTAAAAAATACTATTTACTTATGAGCGTTGTGATAGCACGATAAGACAAATTTTTAGTTTAAGCGGTTTATTTCTTCAATCTTTTGCAAGATTTGTTTGAAAATGTAATCGATGATGCCAGTAATCGAACCAACAGTACTTGTACACATACATTTGCGATCAAGTGAGACGCTGCCAATTTGACTTACAATATAATTCGTAAAATTTCGGTTTTGTATTGTACCAGTCATGAATTACAATTTTAATAATACACGCGCAATTATTCAATGCCACCACGCGAGTGACGAGTGGATTTGTTGTAAATTATTTATCATCCTAATGAATTATAATATTTGTCAAAAATACAAGGCACTATTTTAAGCATAATAAATGCTCTTGAATTGCAGATAAATATAATTTTTTCGATTAATTGTACGTATATCTAAGACCACGTGAGTCTCGAAGTATTACAAAGTTCAACTTTTACTCGGTATACCTGCACAGTGTCAGAGTCCGATCCGCGTTTGTTAAAAATAACCGCTTGGCTCTGTGTGTTGATGATAAAGTTAGAAAAAATTTAACAAGCACTTGGCATCGAGCGAAAAATTTTTTTTTTATTGTTTAACACCAACACACTTACAAACATAATATGCAGCCACAAAAAATCAGGTATGTATACACGTAGTGCAGGAGCGATCCTATTTTTAGGAATTCATCGCTTACAAATCGCCAGTTCACAACATCCGATCATTCAGTTTACCTGCGTCCTCTGCTGTGAGATCAGCTCCTGGTCCCTTACTTATCTTTCTTTCTCCTTTCAGTGTACGCCTTACTGGTCGAAGAAAAATGTTTTTGATTGCTATTGTATTTTTAAACTCACTTGGCGAACGACGAAAAACAAAAGCGCGAAACGATACTTTTGGCAGCTGATCGGTTTCGCCGACCGGCCAACGCACTACTCGCTTGTTAGCTCAGGCGTCAGCTGCTCCTCTCCTTTTTATGCTCCTTCTCTTCCTCAGCCACCGATGCGGCACTCATCTCTGTTTTTTTCTTCGTGCACGTTTTTTTTCTTTCAAAAAGCTGCTTTGCCCCAACAAGCACTACTCGTCCGTATTTTGTTAATTTTTTGTTGCTACGTACAACCTTGTTAATTAATTACTGATCGAGTGAGGGAGAAAGAGAGAGTGCAAGAACCTCATCGCTATTGATTCTCTTCTTTTATTTTGAAATCAAGTTTCAACTTTCGTTTTTAATTGTACTCCAGCGCTGAAAAAGTCCGTGGCATTTACTCTCGTCTGACTTGCTTTTCTGCGAACATGAAAAAGTATCGTATACAACTTCTTGTTTTTTTTTTTGTTTTTTAAATCAATGGAATTTTTGAAATGTTTTTTAAATAGAAGAGAAAAAACACAATAATTTGAATTCACGAAATCATTTTTATACTTATTTTTTTTGTATCTTTTATGAAAATTTGGTGTTATTCAAGTTTTAAGTTGAAATGGCTTAACATTTAGTCATGTGGTTTAAAATTTGGTGCTTTGTGTAATGAAATTTTTGTACGTACCAAGTTAACATAGTAATCGCAATAAATATGTTTAAAAAATACAAAGTCTTTGTATAAATTGTATGTTAATGCTCGTCTTCAAAGGAACACAAACTAAGTATAGTCTATAAACAAACGTGTGATTGTATTTTAACACGAGTTTACGTATTTTAAAAATTTACTTAAAAATATGCTTATCTTTATGAATCTAACAAATCATTAGTGTTATTTAAATATGACCCTACGTTGTTAGTATCATCATGCAGACAATATTGTAAACTATATTTGTATTAAAATTCGTCTAAATTTACTTGTAGGTTGTAACATATGCATAATGTTTTGTGATTGCACAAATTATATGCTGCTATAACATTCAAATTATACAAATCTTGTGTGAGAATTTCATTGCACACAACGTTTGTGCGAATTATTAAGGTGGCTTGAGCGATTTTTATTGGAATGATAATAATCTCAAAAATAAAAATAAAAATAAAAATATAATTAAATAATAATTATGTAAATGAAGCATGCCTTATTAACTTGCGATAAAAAAATACTAGGGTCAACTGCTTTATTTTTCAGAAAACTGCTAATAAAAACTCACCAATTTAACACGCAGTTTTATACGACTATAACACCAAAAGTAAATGATAAATCTCTACAAATATAAATTTCATTTCTACTTTTTTTCATAACTAATCTTTTAGAGTTGTAAAAATTATATGTCAACCACGTAAATTTTCAGAAAATTAAGAGAAAAGTGATTTATATTTTTCTGGGCATGAGCAGATTAAAATGATGAGTTGTTATTATTCTTTTTATCGATATTTTATAACCTTTTAGGCCAATAACACTCTGAAGTTCGAATACATGATTCAGATATTCAATTATATTGACAACAAACAAAAATAGTTTTCATAATCCATAGACCCTTACAGGGTCCCTCGCTTGGTACGGCACTGGACGCCCAAGCCACCTTAAATCATGCAAATTTATGTATTATAAAATACTCACCACTGTTTGTATTTTTAACACAAAATTTATGTAGAAATTTCATTTATTTTATACGTATTTGAGCTGCCAGATAAGACTTACATAAATTTTTTTATGTTTACTATTTTCAACTTTAATTTTTACAAAAAACACAACATTTACAATGTATTTAAATTTAACTTTTATGGTTATTTAAACGAATTTTCAATATCAATAAAGTTGTTGATGTAGATAAAAGAATAAAAAAAAGTTTATTAAAACATTATTGCAATATGAAAAACTTTAGTTCTGGTATTACTGGTTGGGAGCAATATGATTGATGGCATACAACGTGAAAATAATAACAAACCGTATTTTTACACAATTTTTAATGCACTGAGTGTCAATTGGTGGATGGCAAGTTGTTCGAGGCTTTCTTAATTTAAACGTAAGAACTGTTTGCTTACTCGCTTATAAATATTTAATAGCTATAAATTCAGTCGAATAGGATCTAATCACGACAAAAAAACATTCTCATTTCGATAGTTTAAATAAGTATCAAAACAAAACAATTTGTATTTAAATTTTAATCAACAATTTTTTTTCCAACAAACGATTGGTAATAAGTAACAATATATTTTACTGTAGTATTACAAATTGAAAGTAAAAGGGAAATTAAGTCACTAATTAAAATAGTTTAATTGGACAGAATACATTAAAATCTTATATTAATGAAAATAAACGTTAACGACAGAATCAAAAGTGATTTTAAAATCTTTGCCACAGAGGATAGATGTTACCATAAATTATGATCGTCATCAATAATTATCGGCAGTCCGTGAAAACCAAGCTACTGCTGATAAAGTAAAATTTGTTTTGATAAAAAAATTTTTTTTTCTGGAATACAGTTGAAATGTCGTCAATGGTTTCACGAACTTTGATACACGTTTTACTCTACTTTATATTGTTTATTTGATGGGCGTCATACATACATTGATGATTAAAAAAAAAAAAATAATATAAGTGTTATATAACATTAAGAAGCATTAAAGAAGCTGTCAGTAGCTATAACGTTAAGTTATATAATAACGGAAAGTGTCATTAAAACGGTACGTAGAGGGAGAAATATTTGGGTCATACGTATTTAATTGTCTGCATATGAAATTAATCAATCTTAATTAATTTTTTCTGAATAAATTTAAGTAAGTGCACCGTTGACATTACGGGAAACATGCAGATTTCATTTATGAAATATTTCTTAAAATATTTTATAATGTTTGTTATTCTCACATCCATGAAAACTCTCTCAAATAAATAAATTTTTTCAAGTACTTACAATTTTTACTTTTAATGCAAAGTTATTAGTAACAAATAAAGTTTATTTCTCAGCAGCAAATCCCAATTTTATTTAAATTCAAAGTACAACTAGACTCAAAGTTTAAACATATTACAAGGATACGTACAATTTCTTAATGGGTTTCACTAAAAACTAAAAAAATCTAGCCTAGCTTTTAAAATAAGTCTAGCGGGAGAAATGCCCAGCGAGCTTTTCCGATATCTCCGAAGTGCAGAGCAAGGCTACACATTTGTGAATCTGCCGTTGAAATATACTTCTTGTATCTAGTAAATATGAAATCTCCTCTGACGTTTGATTAGTAGTTGATGCTAAGTCAGCAAGTCAGACAATAATCGAAGCTTCGTTATAATCTTAGTAAAATTTTCTTGAAAGAAGATAAGCTTGCGTCACATGTCTAGTGCTGACGCATATAAAAGTTTTTTTTTTTCGATCGAATATCCATAAAAGATGACATGTAAAAAGAGTTTCAGGTCTTTTTTGATCATGTATAATTAAATGCTTATAGTGCACAATGTATTCAGTCAAGTATACTTTGTATCGAGAAGTTAGGTGATTGGTGATCCGTTGGAGGCAAGGTTCAAGAAATAATAATACCCGGAGTATTTGTATTTCTTAGTTTAATACGGCAACGTTTCGCTGATTATTTGTATCAGCCTCATCAGGCCCAGGTACGCGAGAGTTTGTGAGTGTTAGTGTCACTTGTCACTGGTCGAACGACAAACTAAGATCTTTAATTGTTCATATTTTTGGAAACAAAAGGGGGTGTTAACGTAATTTTTTAAAACTCTTTTACTTTAAAGAGCATGAAAATTACTTTTGATTGAAAATGAAAATGTAGTAATGGGCTATCAATAATTTAGTTATTATTAATAATAACTACAACTTTTTCAGTTTCACAGTTCCTATATTTCTAATTAAAGCTATTATCACAATTAAAAAAATTATGAAACTAGAACATAAATTAATTATTAATAACACATTAATAACAAATTTTTCACAAAAAAACTTCATTAACGCTTAAAATGTAATTTCTTAATACATTAAGAGTTTTAAAATTATTTTTAAAGCTTTGCAAAACTGTTTCCTGTTTCATTTTTCTTATTTATATTGATAAAAATGTTAAAACTCAGTGTTATGTAATATATATGGACATGAATTATCGGGTTCTGACAGAGAGTGTACAAGTAATTTTTACCAAATACTAGAGAGTCAATGTCAGTTCATTGCACCTTATTATTATCAGTTTTATTTTATAATTTTTAGAAACACTTAATCTTGACATCTATTTTTCTAACTAAAAGTTTTTTTTTCAAATAAACATCATACAACTGAAAGAAAAAATTGAATCAATTGGATAAGTAACTAAAGTAGAAATACCTTTCACAAAAACAGTGTGATATGTGGTTGAGAACAATCGTACGATTAAAATTAAGGTGAAAATAATTTCTCAAACAGAGATTGATTTCCTTTTTGGTTGTTATTCTTCGCAAAATTTCGCTGGGTGGGGGGTACCAAACTGCAGGCTTTAAGAAAAAAAAAATAAATAAAAAACAAAACAAACAAATAAACAAACAACAATAAAACCACTGAAAAAAATACTCCACAATGCACAATTTTGCACATTCACAAATGTTGAACATTCACAATAGAAATTTTACCTCAAGAATCAAAACTTATTTCATAAATAAGTCGCTCACTCATCAACGCTACACGAGTTCTGGTTGTCATTATTCATTCAACTGGAATGACACAAAAATCATTGACGAAGAATCTTATTATCATAAAAAATTAGTCCCCGAAATAATATATATCAAATGTAATTCTATCACCATGAAATAAAAAAAACATACATTCACTCATATAAGGTCTGTTCCACGATTTAGAAAATTCTAGAATGTTGTAACTACATTGACTTTTATTTATAACTTCATTGCCTAGACTTGAATCGTAATCAAGCATTTTTGTTTTGATTTGTACCTGTGTAAGCTGACCATTTCGTTATAACAGCGATGATTAGAAAGCACTGCATTGACGAGTGAACGTCGTTCTCACGAGAAAAGTTTCAATTCATGAGGTAAAATTTCTTTAAAAATACACGAAAAATTTATTTTACCTGTAAAAAGACAATTCGCAAATTAATGAAACTGTACTTTATTATTTTTCGTGCTCAGGTGTCCATTCAATAACATCGAGACCCATGGAAAAATGCAGACTAAAATTTCACTATTTGGCTTTTAAAAAATGCCTAGTTGGATATAATGAGGAGGTAAAATATAATGTAAAATGTAAATAATGAGCCAATGATTTATATAGTTTATTTTAAATTTAAAAATGCAGCTTTAAAAGTTTTTGGCGTCAATTTTGAATATTATGTTCTAATCTTTAATTCATTCTTTACTCTGAATGGTAAACTTCTTGCAGAGAGTAAATAGTACACGGATAAGAATATTAGTTAATAAACACAGAAACCAATACAAAGTCATTTTAGATAAAATTAAAATTGCGAAACGCACAAAGTGAAACTAGATATGGCTTGCAATGACATTGACACAGAGATAAACAAATTTTTTTCTACTACATAGCTGAAATATACAAAAGTATACAAATAGCTTAAACTTAATAAGAAAAATACTAACGACAAATAAAACAATCAAAAAATTTAATTAACATGATTAAAAAAATAAATATCAGGTAATTATTATTGATCAAGTAGAACAAATACCATTAATGTGACACAAAAAAATGACGCATAAAGACATTAATTATACCAAATTAGAAAATAAATTAAAAAGACATAGAGATAAGTTCTTGCAGAAGACAAAGATACGTGAATGGAAGATTTAACAAATAAGAACATAGAAATAAATGAAGGAAACAAAGATGCAGAAACTGAGATCAACTTACATCGGTAATATAGGGGTGAAAAGCATAACACTTAAGCACTTAGATACGATAGCATACACATAATTATAAAAAAATTAGTTTAACACTTGAAGCAGAGTGGAAAAATTAAAAAAAAATCAAGCGATGTATTGTTTAAGGATTTCAGAACTAAAAACGGTCAAGTCAAACACTGTTACATTTACATTATAGATACACAATAATTGAGGTAAAAAAAATCTAGATTTTGCCATTTTACAGGGAGAAATAATATCTAATAATCGAGCATCAATATAATAATAAAAAAGTAAAGTCGAAAAGAAGAATTCAGATTTTTATGCGTTTTGGGAACAAACATTCGTAATTAAAAGTAAGAAAAAAAAACCTGCATGTAAGGGATATCGCGATAAACAACTTCATGGAAAACAAACATAAAAAAAAATTTTAATTGAACACGCAAAAAATTGGGAAAATTTTTTTAATTTTTCAGTTAATAAACAAAAGCACATTTTTAAAATGATTTTAAATGTTTTTTTTTTTTTTCATTTTTAAGTTTTTGGTAATACTCTAATCAAAAATTCAATAAAATAGTCCAATAGTGTACTTTTGATTTTTAACTTGAAAATTTTATTGTTAACAAACTCGAGTACTTATCGTTAAGAAAAGATCGATGCTGCTGTAATTCGATCCAGTAAGTATGTAGACAGCATCAATTGCCTATGTAATTGCTGCGTCAAGTGTAAGCTGCACGGATCCGATGTTGTTGGGGCACCGCATGAGGTAGAAAAAGGAATAGCGCCAACTAAGAAGGTAGCGAGACTAGCGAGCTCTGACTGTCATTCAATAGGGATTCACTTATGCACGAGTAGTATAAGTAATAAGTGTACGTATTTATCTACAGGTATGCACACCGTTTTGGTTTTACGATGAGTTCCAACGTGGTGTATAATAATGGTGTAAATGTATGAGTTTTTGCATACACACATATATATATATATATACATATAGTATATAAGAAGATATGCCTTGTTGATTTTATTAGTGCCAGTTTATTAAATTTTTTGAAATTAATAATAAATGAGCTCTATAAATTTACAGAATAAAGAAATGTTATTTCATAACATCAGCTCTTCTACTTAAGATAGTCAGAAAAATGGATGCTCCGGTAAAAGAAACTGTTAACTCAAATTGTGATTGAAGGAAGTCATAACATGGAGGAAGTTTTTTGTCTTGAAATCTTAAGTGACAGAACTGTTTGTTTTGTCTACGAAGTAAGTGTTAACAGAAAAATCTTTTTAGCAGTTTAATTACACTGTAAATTCATTATTAATAAAAAAATAGTTTCATAGTATTCTTATAAAAACTATAATTTTGTTGTAGTATGACAGTACTTTTCCACATTTTTGAAGACATATTATTCCTATAATATTATTGATAGTTCAATAGATTGTAAGTCTACATTTTCTGGAGATTCACTAATCTGCTAACTACGTATCAGTACGGCTGCTACAAAATAAAAAATAAATCTCTGGGTTGACGCTTTTTTCAACCTATACCTCAGTTAGTGCTTTATTCGCTGAAAATTTAGTTGGTTTTTTATTTAAACAAATAGATTTGGCCCTTTTCTCTATCCAAATCTAAATTACAGATATGCGTATTAGGCGTTGAAAAAGTAGAGTTGTAGATATAAAAAGGTAAACAAATAAATTTAATAAGCCATTGACTAACAAATTATACTTTACGATTTAGAACTAATTGTTATAATTAAATTATGTCAAATTTTTTGTAAATGTATTGTAAGTAAAAAATGTATCAGTTTGGATGTGAAAGCTTCAATCGTAGTCTCTTTTGTATTAGCATCACCAAAACATATTAAATAAAAGTAAGAAAAACTAAATCTCTTGCTACATTTTGACAAAGTCAAATAGCTAACGAATGACTGGTGTGGACGTCAGCTGCTACTGGCCGTCTTATGCATGTTTTGCGGTCTTTTGATTAGTATACACTGTTTCATTCTTTGCACGACTGTTGACAAGATATTAACGTTTTTCGAAAAAATGGGCACATTAATGTCGTTTTTGCAAGGAACTGCAACGATAAAGTTTTTTAAATATTATGTAATCATCGTACTCGAAAATATTATACACAAAAAAAGATGAAACTAAGAAAGAATACACGTTGTATGAAAATGATATGTAAAAAAAAAATTTTCGAAACATTTTTAATGTTTGAAAAAGACTAAAAAAATACTAAGTTAAGTGAAATCATACAAACAAATGTTTTAAAAATATAGATGTTATCGCAGTTTAGCCGCATTCAAGGTTAATTTAAGTGATTCTAAATTTATATAACTTCAAGTAAACGGACTTAATGAGATCGAAAGCTTAATGTTTCTCATTATCCAAATGAAATTAAAAAAGATGTGGAAACATTTGTGTATACTAGGTTAGTTACGTGCTTACAAATTTAAAATATAGATTATAACAAAAAGTAA